TTGTGCTCTGTGGGAACTTCCTCATGTTAATGCACAAGCTTTAAATGTTTCTACCATCACACTTCCGAGTATACCATTTCTCCCTCTTAGAATGTCTCTTCCTCCAGCCCATGCAAATCCCATCTATCCTTCCAGATTACATCTGAGCCCACTAAGAAGCCATCTCCACATTCAACAGCCCCTGTCCATCCTTTCCTCTTCTGAAATAAGATTAAGCTCACTGAATTCACGCAACCATGTGCCTCTTAGATACTGTTTAACAGACAGTTAAAATGTACTTAGATACTGACTTTCTAATACGTAAAAGAAGAGTGTTTGGAAGAAATTTTGGGATTATTTATTTGTTTATTTATTTATTTATTTTTTTGATACAGAGTCTCACTCTGCCACCCAGGCTGGTGGGGCAGGGCACCATCTCGGCTCACTGCAACCTCCGCCTCCTGGGTTCAACCAATTCTCCTGCCTCAGCTTCCTGAGTAGCTAACCAATACACCCAGCTAATTTTTGTACTTTTAGTTGAGATGGGGCTTCATCATTTTGGCCAGGATGGTCTCAAACTCCTGACCTCAAGTGACCTCAAGTGATCCACCCCGCCTTGGCCTCCCAAACTGCTGGGATTACAGGCGTGAGCCACCACACCCGGACGGATTTAATCTTAAATGAACCTTTCCTACAAAATATATATCAAGGAGTAAATGGAAAGGTTTAACATTTTATCATAAAGACATTTAATCTTGCAATTATTAAAGACATGAGTATTAAGCTATTCATCTCCACATAATCAGAACCAGTGATTATATGATGGTTAATGCCAGCACTGTTGATTTTTCTAATATACTATCATTTGGGAGATGCTTGTTTTAGGCAATTGAATTCTTACATGTAGTAGATAGGGAACTGGGGGCTTTCTCCCTAGAAAGATACTGTGGTAGGTGCTGCTGTCAAGGAAAGAGGCTCTGTGCTTGGATCCACAGAACTGTGTTTGCTGTTGCCCCACAAGATTCATATTCTCTCTCTCAATCTCTCCCTCTCCCTCCCTCCGCTCTTCCTTTTCATTCCCACCTTTGGTTACTAACTGTTATAAAGGATAACTGAACTTCGTAACTTGTAAAGAACTTCAAGATGGTCTATGCCACCTGATGAGGGAATGTAACCAAGAAAAGATGAGCTGATGTGCTGCAGATCATCCTTGTAGAAAATGAAAGAATTGGGGCTAAAACCCAAATCTTTCTGTTATCCAGAGAAATCAGGAGCTAGAAGGCTTAAGCCTTACACCACCTAGCTCTTGAGTTTCATTTCCCTTGTCCCTGAACTTCCTGTCTTCCACCAGGTTCCTCCGTCTTACCATTAAGGAACTTCTGAGGTCCTTGACACCAAACTGTCTTCCTTCCATTAACCAATTCTCCAATGTTGTCTTATCTCAATCGCACGACTTCTCTTATCCTACCTGGAAATTTCATTGTTGATTCTGGTTTTTCTCTTAGCCAATACCACATCTGCCAAAACCTCCTAGCTCCTTTCTTTTAACCCCTTCCATATCTGTTGCAGACAAAATTACATACAAAAAACTGAAGCCAGTAACCATGACTATCTCACAAAGGGTCCTGTTCTCTTCACCTAGGGTTTTGGAATCCTTGTCTCTGTCATGCTGTGTATTATATTATAATATGATGAGAAAAGAAAGTTTTCTCTTTAAGCAGGCAGGTAATTTCCCAAGACACATAGCCAAGCAAATGATTATGCCTACAAGTTAAGCAGGGACAGCAGCACAGTTCATTGACACTATCTGTAAATACCAAAGTCCATTCTTTATCAAAAACATCAGTATCTTCTCCAGCTCGAGTGGAAATGCCGAATAATGTGAACCCTCTCTTTCTTGGTCTTGTCCATTTTCTTACCAAAGTGTCAACGGTGTTAAAGCAGAAAACAGGACAAAAAGATGAGCAGTAAGAAGTCCAAATAAATCAAAAGTAGCCACAGAGTATGGTGGTAAACATGTGAACTCTGGCAGCCAGCTGCACAGTGAGTTGGTTAACAGCTGAGAGACCGGACACACTGCTTAAACTCTCAGTTTTTCCATCTGGTAAACGGGTATAATAGTAGCACCTATCTCACAGGGTTTCCATGAGAATTAAATAAGTTAATGTTTGTAAAACCACTTAGGACAATGCATGGCACATATTAAGCACTATATAAATATTTGTTAAATAAATCCTCAGTTTGAAATTATTTTAACAATCACACTCTGTGTCTGCTGACCTCCAAATCTTACCAGCAGTTTCAGGACCTAGAGGCACCGTGAAGGTTTATATACTACACCACACACTCTCTGTATCCTCCAGTATGAACTGCCACCTGATAATTCGTTTTATAATTCCTTCTTATAAGGAGTAGAGACAGAAATGTACTCCCGAACCTCTCTCAGCAACAGTCCCCATGGCCGCAGCCACACACACAGTGAGAAATGCCCTCTATGCCTTACAAGACAAGGTCTGTGAAACCACAGAAGTTCTCGCTTGCCCGCGCATTACAAATTCTACCTGTAACCCAGAATCAGAACTGGGGAGGTGGGGCAATAGCCCCCTACTTCAGAAAAAATAAAACAAAGGGAAAATTCTACGAAACCACGTGTCTTCTTGGTACAGGGCTCACAGCCTTTCTCTCCTCCCTTTTTTTTTTCTTTTCTTTTTTTGGTTTTGTTTTTGTTTGTCTTAAAGACAGGCTGTTGCTCTGTTGTTCAGGTTGGAGTGCAATGGTGCGATTACAGCTCATTCAACCTCAGCCTCCCGGGTTCAAGCGATTCCCCCACCTCAGCTCCCCAAGTAGGTGGGACTACAGGCACGCACCACCATGGCCAGCTAATTTTAGTATTTTTTGTAGAGATAGGGTTTCACCATGTTGCCCAGACTCTTTCTTTCTTAATTTTACTCCAATCAGGCTCTTGGCTACACCAAATTTGATGATCTCAAGATCAGCACAAGTCCACCACTTTAGTAAGGCCAGCAACACCTGGTCTTACGCCACCTCTCAGAGGTACACTCAGTGTCAGTACACTGCTAATGCTTCCTCTCCTCAATTGCCTTCTTCTCTTGCTTCTAGTTCCCCAGAGTCTCCTGGGGTTTCCACCTCTTCTAGGGCTCCTTTGCTGGCTGCCCCTTACCTCCTGACCTCCTTACACTGGAGGGCCTGCCCTATGGCTCCATCCTTGGTCCTCCTCTCCTTCATATCCACATTCACATTCACGGTGAGCTCATGCAATCCTGTGATTTAAAATACCACTTTCCCCCCAGGACTCTCAAATGTACGTCTCCAGCCCAGACCTAAATCTTGAATTCCTGAGTCATACATCCAACCGTCCACTCAATAAAATTGCCACACCCCTTGGATGTCTAATAGGTTCCTAAATTTAGCTTGTCCAAAACCAAACTCCTGATCTTCCCCCAAAACCTCCTCCTCTTCAGTCTTCCTCATCTTGGTTAATGACATTCCTCATCTTCTCCTCCACCTCTCATCTTCCCTTCTACCTTACCCATCAGTAAATCCTTTAAAAAATATCCGGAATCTGGCCAGGTGCGGTGGCTCACACCTGTAATCCCAGCGCTGTGGGAGGCTGAGGCAGGCGGATGGCTTGAGCTCAGGAGTTCGACACTAGCCTGGGCAACATGGTGAAACCCTGTCTCTACAAAAATTACAAAAATTAGCCGGGCCTGGTGGCACGGGCCTGTAATCCCAGCTACTTGGGAGGCTGAGGTAGAAGGATCACTTGAGGCCAGGAAGCAGAGGTTGCAGGGAGTTGAGATCGTGCCACCGCACTATAGCCTGGATGACAGAGCCAGGCCCTGTCTCAAACAAAAAACAAAAAAACAGAATCTGACCATCACCTTCAACTACCATCTGGCAATGGTGATCTCTTCCAAGTACTGAAATACTCTATTAACCCATTTATGCCAAAGGTTGCAAATTTTTTTTTGTGAAAAATCAGAACTTGGCAATGACCTTGAGCAGTAGGATATAAATAACCTCACAAGCTTAGCATTCCAATAATGGAACACCAGGCATAAGTAGGTTAAACAATTTTCCTGTTTTTGCTATTGCCTCGCTATAGCAGTTTCTTAAAACAGTAGCCAGAGAGATACCATTAAAATACAAGTCAGATCATGTCACTCCCTTGTTTAAAACCTTCCCATAGCTTCTCATCTCACTTGAGACCAGCCCAGCCAACATGGAGAAACCCCATCTCTACTAAAAATACAAAAATTAGCCGGGCATGATGGTGCGCTGCCTGTAATCCCAGCTACTTGGGAGGCTGAGGCAGGAGAATCGCTTGAACCCAGGAGGCGGAGGTTGCAGTGAGCTGAGATGGCGCCACTGCACTCCAGCCTGGGTGACAGAGTGAGTAAGGCTCTGGCAAAAAAAGAAAAAAGAAAAAAAATGAAAAGCTTAAGTCCTTATAACCACCTGACCCTACATTATCTGAGTAGTCCACCCCCTACCTCACCAGCTCCCTGATCTCGTCTTCTCCTGCTCCCCCTGCTTGATCCATGCAGCCACAGTGGCTTCCTTGCTGGTCAGGGCTCCTGTGCCTACTGCTTCTCCCACCTGGAACACCCTTCCCCAGACACCAGTATGGTTCACCCCCTGACTGCCTTCACACCTCTGCTCAAAAGCCATCTTCCAGGCATCGCTCACCACACTTTTTTAAAGTGCAAATGATACCTGCTTAGCTTAGCACTCCTCAGCTCCCTTCCCTGCTTTAGTTTTCCTTCCTTCCCTGATTCATTTTTCCACAGGAGATTCATCTTATTTTACTTATTTTGTTTACCCCCATTAGAATACTTATTTTGTCTTTCCTTATTAGAGTGTAAGCTCCAGGTGGGTGGCGATTTATGTCCGCTCTTGCTCACTGCTGCATTCTTACTGCCTAGTAAGTGCCTGGTACACCGTAGATGCTCAGTAAAGATTTGCTGAATGAATGGGAATGATGGCTTTTTCTTACCCACCTAAGACAGTCATCACCGTCTTCATTAGCTTCACCGGTGTCCTCCGGCGGCTGATGGACCCACTTGTATGTGGAGACAAGACATTGGTTTTCCTCTTGACATACATGTAGATCCGCAGGTACACCACAACCATGATGAAGAAGGCCATGAGGTTGGACACTGTCCAGAAAACAAGGTAACTCCTGCTGTAAACGGGGGCCAGGGAAGAGCAGGCAGAGATGTTGCAGAGGCAATTCCAGCCCAGTGTGGGGACCGACCCCATAAAAATGGCGATGGCCCAGACAAGCAAAATCAGCAGCGTCACCCTCTTTTTGGTCAGGTTGCTGTGGACCCGCATCCTCATGATTGACACGTGCCTCTCCACGGCAATAACCAGCAAGTTGGTCAGGGAAGCAGTCAAGCTAGTGTCCAGAAGCCCCTGGCGGAGAAACCAGCGGTTGACAGTCAAAGTTTTTGAAACTGGGCCTGTGTTAAACATCAGGAATACATAGGCAATTCCAGCGAAGAAATCTGCAGCAGCTAAATTAGCCAACAGGTAGTAGAAGGGGAAATGAAACTTTCTGTTTTTGATCACTGCCGCAATGACCAGAGAATTAGAAAAAAAAATAAACAGGCAGAAAAACGACCCCACACACAAAACAATCACAAGTTTTGTTCCTGTCCAGTCATCGACAGTATCAGTGTTGCTCCTATTATAAAAAAAGTCCATGTGCTTATCATAGTGACACTCATTCATTGTGGAGAAGAAGTGAACATCCTAGAAAGAAATTTAAAGAAGAAACAAATATCATTTGTAAAATCAGTCACTAAACCATCAATTGCTATTTCTAAGCCCCTTCTGGCTAACTCCCATTAAGGGAGTTGAAGACCTGAAGTGTCAGGTCTCAGTGCAAATGTCCTTTGCTCCAGGACATAGCCCCTGACCTCCTACCACAGCATTTAGCTCACATTTTAATTGTTTGTTTTCCAGACTAGGCAGTTCAGGTTAGGATGGCATATCTCTATTTTGTTCACCATTATAACCCTAGGATTCAGTTGCTTTGTCTGCCTCATGGCGGGTAATTATTGATGGGTTGGCTGGCTGGCTGAATGAATGAATGAACGAATGATCATGGAGGCATCAACAGGGCAAATGTGCTGAGCCCTGTAATACCCACTCTGCACTGGTAACAATGACAACACATTACGTTAATGCCTTCTCCTGGCTCCCAGTTCATTAGTTATTTATGGATATGTTCATTAATCAATGGCAGGTTGGTAATTCCAGGTACATTCTTCCCAAGATAATAGGAGTTGAATTACCATTCACATAACCAAATAGATTCCCCAAAAGACCAATTTTCTACAACTTCTGATTCCACTCCTCATCCTCCTTTTGCCATCTTTCGGTTTCAAGAAACAACTCTGATATTCACGTATTAGCTATATGATGCAGGGATGGAGACTTTGGTCCCAGTACCCCTCTTCCTTACCTTTTGTTCACTTCTTCCTTATAGTCTCCTAACCCAAACTGCACCAATGTGAACTTGCTCACTGGATTTTCCAGTATTCCTCAACACGGCAGGTGGTGGAGGATCAGGCTTCCATAGGCAAGACTGAGATTTGGAATTGGGGCAGATCTCCAACTCAATGTGGATGTGAGAACATAATCCATTAAGTGAGGACATGTCCTTGGGACACTTGTCTGAATGAAGACCCCAATCTGGGACATCAGGCAGATAGGGAAGACATAATCCTCTCAGTAAAAGATCTCTTGAATCCCAAAAGTGAGGGATCCTGGCCAAGGAAGGACTGGGTGGAGGCCCCACGGATGCCCATCTGTCTACACGTGGTGGGGAAAACCACGTGTTCTGCCTCACAGTGGTCTGGTCACAGCCATGAACGGTCCTACGGAAGAAGACTGGGCTTCGTCAGGGTTCTAGCTTCTGGGAAGAATGACCATCTGCTCCCTCACTGAGGATGAGGCTGCAGCTTACTCCCTGGAGAACCAGAGATTTAGTCGGCAGAGGGACTGAGCAGCCCTCTGGGAGCTGTGACAGTGAAAGCTTAGTAGAAGTCCCCAGATTTTAAAGTTCCTGAAAATTCTGAAACCTGATACCACAACCAGAATCAAGAAGACCAGATAACAATATTAAGTAGTACAAAATAGAAATGTATCTCAGTCTTCTTTTAAATTTATATTTTAATGGTATAATGATACTTTTACATAAATTAGATATTGCTTTTCGGCCATAGCAAATGGGAGGCAAATATCATTTTATATGCTTAAAAAAAAAAACTGGGAGTAGTCTCAAGAGACAAATTGTTCCAGTATCTTTCAATTACAAGAAAGGAAGACTCAATTTTCATAATGATGAAATAAAAATTACTCTCTTTGGCAGACAGTCACCAATATTTAACTGTAAATATCAAATAAATTCATATATCATATGTTTATACTATATCATAATTTTCCCAAATTAAAAATACAGACAGTATAATTTTAATAGCTTCAAAATATTCTATTATGTGAATAGGCCACACCTTATTTAACTAATCCTAAATACTGGACATTAGGGTTGCTTCCTGTATTTCACTTTTATAAGCAAGGCTGCATTCTTGTGCATTAATCTTTATATACCTAGACAATTGTTTCTTTAGGAATAACCCATAGATTTCAAATTGAAGTAAAGGATATAAATCTATTTAAGGGCTTCTGATATATCTTGTCAAACTGCACTTCAGAGAGAAAGTATTTTTTTTTCCCAAGATGGAGTCTCGCTCTGTCACCCAGGCTGGAGTGCAGTGTAATTTCAGCTCACTGCAACCTCTGTCTCCCGGGTTCAAGCAATTCTCCTGCCTCAGCCTCCTGAGGAGCTGGGACTACAAGTGTGTGCCAACATGCCCGGCTAATTTTTGTGTTTTTAGTAGAGATGGGATTTCACCATGTTAGCCAGGCTACTCTCGAACTCCTGATCTCAGGTGATCCGCCCGCCTCGCCCTCCCAAAGTGCTGCGATTACAAGCATAAGCCACCACACCCAGCCTGAGAGATCATATTTTTAATTTTACCAGCAGCATATGAGCGTTAAATACAAGGTGTTAATCTAGTGAAATACAACTTAAGTATTTAAAGAGAAATACAGCTTTCAACCATGTTGAAAGTATACAGAAATTCAAGACAAACAATCCGAGAACCACTTGCTATGGTCTGAATGTTTGTGTGTCTCCAAAATTCATGTTGATACCTAACCCTAACTGCAGTGATATTACTAGTTATTAGTTATTAATAGATATATAATAAATATAATATATAATATATTATATATCATATTATATAATAATCTATAACAATTATAATATACAATTACATATTATATAATCATATATAATAATTAATAATTATAATATATAATTATATGTTATATATTATATAATCTATAATAATTAATAATTATGATATATAATATAATAATTAGTTATTAATAGATAGTAATTGGGAAGTGAATGGGATTAGTGCCCTTATTAGAGGCCTGAGGGAACTCGTGAGACCTTTTTTGCCACACCACCATTCAAGGACACAGCAACCGGGCGCGGTGGCTCAAGCCTGTAATCCCAGCACTTTGGGAGGCCGAGACGGGCAGATCACGAGGTCAGGAGATCGAGACCATCCTGGCTAACACAGTGAAACCCCGTCTCTACTAAAAAATACAAAAAGCTAGCCGGGCGAGGTGGCGGGCGCCTGTAGTCCCAGCTACTCGGGAGGCTGAGGCAGGAGAATGGCGGGAACCCGGGAGGCAGAGCTTGCAGTGAGCTGAGATCCGGCCACTGCACTCCAGCCTGGGGGACAGAGCGAGACTCTGTCTCAAAAAAAAAATAAAATAAAATAAAAAGGACACAGCATTTGCCCCCTTCTGGAATGAGAGACCAGGCCCTCACCAGACACCAAATCTGCTGATGCTTTGATCTTGGACCTCCTAGCTTCCAGAATAGTGAGCAATAAATTTCTGTTATTTATTAATTACCTAAAGTATTTTTATTGCAACAGGAATAGACTAAGACACCACATGGGGAATTTTAATAATACAATTATTATGTGTCTTTTCTAATTAAAAGTAATGTATGTTTTTACTTTGCTACATGTTACTATGTTACATACATATTTCTAATTTAAAAGTTATATTATCTTTGACTAATTTATTAGAAATATAAAGATGAATATGTCACAAAGACAGTGGAATTAAGACACTACAAAAATACTGCTCAAATTTTCCTAATTTTATTTTGAAGGATCTTACAATTTTAGTTTTATTTCTTACATGTGGTCAAATTTTTAATTATATCAAGCACTAAAACCTCAATGATTTTCACTTCAAAAATCTTCAAATTCAACTGTCCCTTGTCAAAACCAAAACAGTTTAAGACATGTTTTTAGTAAAAATTGCCCTGAGACTGCAAAGCAATTTTGTCTTACAAAGTTGAGATATCACAGAAAAACTATGATTAGCCAGAACTCCCACTAAGGAGCACTGTACCCTGGCTCCAGATCCTACTTTTGAGAGAAACAGGCAATGGGACAAAAAAACTTCATATAGGAAATTGGTGAAAAAGATTCCACAGGATGGAATACTATACAGTCCATGAAAACATACCCATTATGAAGTTGTGGTAATACAAGAAAAAGCCCATGCCATTACTTTACTACACAATACACGTAACAAAAATGTATGTGTGTTAACTATATAGAAAAAGATAATGAAAAAATCTCGAAATGTAAATAGTTAAGAATGGTGGAACTGCAAGTCATTTTAAAAAAATTCTTACCACATTTTCTGTAATAAGTAAATCAAGACTTTTAATTAGGAGCATATATTCTGCTTAATGTATTCTATCTTCCTTCTACAATTATAGCTTTGAAAAATGAAAATTAATGTTCAAAGGAAAAGCCTCAAAGATTTGCATATGTTCAGTTTATTCTTACGAGCACAGAACCCTTTAGGGTTTTTCAGTGACAACAAAAATAAAATAGTTTTCTACTTAATCTTCACATAACCAAAATTTGACTTGCTAACCCTGACCACACCAGGATGTAGCTTTCACCAATTCTCCTATAAAATATTTCCTAATGCCATCACCACAGATCTCCCCAGCACATATCATCTACAGATTACCATCTTGTCTTAGCTAGAAATTACCAAAAACTTTTAGCAAGCTTATAACAAATGACTGATTTATTATTATCTCTTGGCCTGTGATTTTCAACAAATTAATCACTTACTTCAGTCCTAGCCTAAATGTCCCCTCCGCAAAGATACTTTTCTGACCAATTCAAGATAGCTCCATAGCTCTCATTCTCAGAGAGCCCTTGTTTACCTCCATCAGAGCTACCCAGTTGCTTGTGACCCAGTATTTTCTTTTGTGTTTAAGAATTTATTGTCCATCTCCCACCCCTAGACCGTTCCACTCCAGCAGAGCAGGGAACCTGCCTATTATGCTCATATCTACGAGATCAGTATTTATTGAATGAATGAATGAATCTCTGTCCTACACTATCTTTTTCCACGTCTAAAATGAAAAGGTTCTGTGAAATGCCTTTGCTGACCTATACATCAATCACTAAATATGACAATTAGCGAGCTCTGTTGCCTATTAACTAAGTGTTTTCAGGTACATAATATCTCTACTTTATTATTACTATTTTTCATTATTAATATTTGAGTGCTTATCGGTGGCAGGTGCTGAACTAAGCATTTTACATGGATTATCTCATGGTATCCTG